AAAAATTCATAATTCTCCTAAACTTTAATTTTTCTTTTTCTTTTTTTTTTTCCAATTAATTTTAAATTTTTCAAATTCTTAAAAAAAAAAATTTATAATAAAATTTAGAGAAACACCATGATCTTTACAAATAAACATAATGCTAAACTTCGTTCTGCTGATTGTCTTATTCTGAACATTAAAAGTAACTTTGGAAATAACGGTGAAACAAAAACATATGTTGCTAAAGCTGTATTTGAAGACTATCAGTATCTTCTACTTATCACTGATCTAAAGCATGTTTGGTTTGAAGAGTTAAACTCTAAAGGCTTAAATTCACGTGCCCGAGTATTAAAATATTTAATAATATTAATATTAATATTATTGCTAACATTACGGAATTTGTATAATCAAATTTAAAATTTATTGAATTTAGGAAGTAGCTTCTGGTTTAGATACAAGTGACGAACTTTCTTTAAAAAATCTAATTCTTTTACTTCGAGAAGTTTTAGAAAATCAAAGATCTATTTATGATTATGATATAGAAAAATTTAGTAATAAGGTTTCTTTCCATTCATTCATTCATTCATTCATTCATTTTTACTCAACCCCACCCCCTTTAATTTAAAATTAATTTTTCACATAATTTAAAAAATCAAAAAAAAAAAATCAAGTTAAAATTAAAGACGTCAATGACATTGGGATTGATAACTTTAAGATGGGTTTTCTTGTGTGAAATCATACCAGAACAATTAATTGGCATTAATGAAGGCCAAGTGAATGATGGTCCGGCTGTAATATATAATCATTTTATATTACCAATGATGATTGTTACACTAGGATTTAGACAACAATTTAAGTCATTAGTAGAAGTTATTAATAATAAAGAAAAGGAAGTGGATGAACTTTTGGAAATAACAAAAAAATCAGATTCATTAATTCCTACTCGAAGTATGTTCACTATGCTTATATAGAGATTTATGGATAGGTATATTTAATATTCATATTATGAATGGTAATTTTGTAGAACATAAAACTGACAAATTTGATAGTGAAATAATAAATGATACAATAAAAAAGGTAATTAATTAATTGATTGGTTGATTGGTTGATATTTTCCGCCCACATTCTCATTCTACACCTTCATTCATTCCTTTATGTAGGTAATATTTCAACCGATGGATCATGAAGATGATGTGCCAATACAATTATTTTCTGATGAAAAAATACGCGAATTGTTTAAAGAAGCCACCGAAACCTCTATTATTACATCATCATCATCAACAACAGCAACGACAACATCATCATCATCTGATCTGATGGATTCTTCGTCATCTCTTAAGTTTGCATCTCAGCCTTTACCTGTACCTCCAAACACTCAAAGTTCATGTTATGACGATTGTTTGCCGTTAACTCAAGAAGATTTAACTTCATGGCAACTGATAGATTCCAATAACTCGGCACTCAATAGTAATACTTCAACAAAAAAATCATTGTCACCACAAAAAGATAAAACTATATCTACTCAATCGTCTGATCAAAATGATGATGAATTTTATACTAATAACAAGGTATCCTTTTTCATTCTAACTAATTATACTACTGTTACATAAATGTACGTTCATTCCTTTCATGAATGATTCCATAGGAATTTGATGAAACACATCGACAGGAGATGCAAAGACGTCAGGAATTAAAACTTGCTGCACAAAAAGTTACTGATGGTTTGAAAAAGAAAAAAAAGAAAGTTTGGTGAACTCTAACGTGAATAATACATTTTATATATATTGATTGACCAGTATAATTAAAATTAATAATCCCTGTCGCGATTTGTACGAATCTAAATTTTCAACTATTATTTAATCTTTTAATTTTTGTATCAATCTTTAAAAATCAATAAATTCTAATGACTGTGACTTTGCTAATACTAACTAATGATCTGTGTAATGAATGTCTTTACCATTATTGTTTTTTTTTTACATGTTTGAATGGGGAATAGCGTTAAACAATTTAATATTTCTTTAAATCAATAATAACAGCAGTGACAGCATTGGTAGTGGTTTAAATTGTTCCAATTTTCATTAACAGAAGCAAAACCCTTCTTCCGCCATTCAAATAACCAATAATAATGATGATGATAATAATGTTCATAGACAAGAGAAACAATCACAACATTAATAATGATATAGTATTAATGACAACAATGACAATGCAATTTCTTTCTATAATAAAATTCCCTAATGCCACTATTGTACCTAATATCACGAAAAAGAATGCTATTAAAAATTCTGATTCATATCAACATAAATGTTCACCTCCAATTGCTACCACCACCACCATCACCATCACTACAATAACCACTAATATAAATACTAACACTAATAATACTTGTTTAAATCTTTATCAACATCACCCTCCTCATCCTTTTCTACTCCTTCTTCATCATCTACTACTACTACAATTACTAATGAAATTACTATCATCAATAACAAGAACAATAATGCATATTTTTACAAACAGCTGCTCGTGATAAACATCAAGAATGTATTAATATGGTGGAAAATCATGCAGTTGCTTATGAGTCAAGGAAAAGAAAAGAGAAGAGGTAGAACGGTTGACGACAGATAATATTGTAATGAAATCAAAGATTTATAATTTGTAACATAGAATTAATGAATTGATAAAGAAAATGAATTTATTTTATGATAAGGAAAAATTGACACAATAATCAAGTTGTTTTTAATTATTTATTTATATTTTTGTATTATAATTAATTATTATTATCCATTACTATTATAATAGATGATATACATATACATACACATTTAAATAATCATAATCTTTTTATAAGCAATAAAAAAATACATACAATTAATAAATAGATTCTAAATGGATAAACAATAATAAAAATAATGCTCTTTAAATAAGAGAAAAAGGAAATATTTATTTATTCATAATCATTTTGTTGATTTTTTTTGGTGCGAGGAGGTTGCCTCTGATGCTGCTGAAATTGTTGTTGTTGTTTTTGTATGATATTACCACTAACACCTAAAGGCACATCATCATCTTCATCATCCTCATCATCAGCATATTCATAATAAGAATTTCTTTGTGAATTAATAGGTGGTGCCAAATCATAATATGGCTGATTAGAAATAAATCTACTTGATCTAAAATCACTTCCACCACCATTACCAAGTCCACCACCACCTCCCATTCCAGGTCCCATACCAGGTCGATTATGCAGGCTGTGTTCTCTCTCAGCAATCAACAATTGTTGCCGTTGTTCCATTAATCTATGTTCCCAATCTCGCTCTCTTTCAGCTTCTGCTTGACGTGCAAACACTCCTGGTCCTAATGATTTTCTATGAACCTCTCTTGCAGCAATTGCACCAATCAAACCTGTTTGTGGACTTCTAGGTTTTTCTGGTAGATTAATTAGTGTAGAGCCAGTTTCACGCGCAATAAGTTCTTGTTCACGTGCTGAAAGATGCCCATGAGGAAAGTGTGACAATGGTCTAAATTGATTTGGTGATTCTGATCTTGAAGGTGGATTGAAATTATTAAAATGATTGTTGTTGCCTCCTCTTACATAATGATTAGGATTAATATTCTCATCCATTAAAGCTGCTAAAGGTTCTTCATCTGATGAAAACCTACCAAATTTATTATTACTAAATTCCTCATCATCATCATCATCATCATCATCATAATCTTGGCTACCATTTTGATCATCACTACTACGTACATCACTTGATTTATTTAAAATTATTTTTTGATTTGTTGGATTAATTTTTTTGTCACTTTTCTTCGTAGGTTTAAATACTTTCCTTGGTCTATTCATAATATCATCAATATCTTCTTCTTCTTCACTAGTTTTATTCTCCTCTTCTACTATAGTTGATGATTTCTTTTTAGCATTATTATTCTTAGCATTTGAATTATTATTACTAGTATT